ATACCTCTATCATCAACATGTGTTGCCTAGTCTGACAATCATTTCTTCCTCTCAACTGTGAGTTCCTGAGAAAGGACTAATTTAAACATCCTTGAGTTCTCAGGGACTTTTAAAGTTTCTGCTACCTAGTAATCACTCCTTAAGTGTATTGAATTAATTAATCCATTAATTAATATCCTATATAATAAAGAGGTAATATGTAAATTTACCTCACACTGTCACAAGATGTCAGCATGGACAGCGAAGCTGGATTCCTGTAACACAAGATGACTGTGCCCACAGTGGAGGCAGGGTTCCCATAATGAGCCATCAGCAGGGACCTTAGGCTGCATGGTCCCAGGTGGGGCTTGACAGAGGGCCTCAGGCTGTGACTCCCACCCAGCAGGACTTGACAGGGGACCTCAGGCCCGCTTCCCCTGCCCTGGCGACGGGCTGGGAGATCTGAAGTTGTGCCTCTCACCTGGTGGGGTTTGAAGGGTGTGGGGCCAGCCGAGACTGGGTCATGCATGATTTCAAGGCACGTGCGGGTGGGTGGGGACTTGACTCTGGGTCCTGCCAAGTGCCCCAGACTCTGACAGGAGGAAGATATTTATATACACTGAGTGGCCAGATTATTATGATTTCTGAATGCATAATAATCTGGCCACTCAGTGTATATCCTATGTAATAAAAAGCAAATATGCAAATTGTCCCCTCAACCTTGAGTTTGATCAGCAGGCAGGACAGCCAACAACTCATGTCCCCTCCCCCTGGCCAGGCTGGCCAGATCCCACCCATGCACAAATTCATGCACCAGGCTATATATACACACACACACACACACACACACACACACACACAACACACACATGCACGCACGCAAGCACACAGAGTGGCATGATTATTATGCATTCAGAGATCATAATAATCTAGCCGCTCAGTGTATATTTTACTAATTTTCTTTCATCTCTGACACTTCTATTACAGAGAAAAGGCAAATAGCAATATTAAAATATTTCCTCTAATTAATTCCCTTTTGATGTGCATGAATTTCGTGCACCAGGCCACTAGTTAATAATAATTAGGAGAGTGATTATAGTGGATTTAAAACTGCAGATTTACCTAAGTTAGCAACAGCTAACCCTCTGATTGAGTTGTTATTTTAGTTTATATAAGTACTAAGTAGAAACCACTCTTATAAATCATGCTAGTTTTAATTTTGACTTCATTTTACAATAATAATGGCAGCACTCACCAACAAAGGAAAGCAGGATGACCAGCAGGACAATGAGAGCGCAGATACATGGAACCAGGACCAGCAGTAGGAAGCGGAGAACATTAGCAGTTGTCAGCTGCTGAAGGCAGCCATCACCCACAGCATCTTCCTCAGCTCCCAAGACCTAAAGCAAAAGAGAAATATGAGCCCCTGGCTGGGTTTGGCTCAGTGGGTAGAGGTCCTGGGTTCGATTCCAGTCAAGGGCGCATGCCCAAGTTGCAGGCTTGATCCCCAGTAGGGGTCATGCAAGAGGCAGCCAGTCAATGATTCTCTCTCATCATTGAGGTTTCTATCTCTCTTTCCCTCTACCTTCCTCTCTGATATAGATATATAGATATATGTATATATATATAGATATATATATATAGATATATATTCATATATATTCATATATAAATATATTCATATATATACGTATATATGTATAAATGTATATAAAGATGATAATTCTAGTAAAAAAAATAAGAGATAAATATGAAACATGGCTTTAATATTACAAAGCAACTCAGTACATGGCATGAAATTATAGAGCAGAGCTACCATTCTCTCAAATCAGCAGCATTCATAAAGATTTTGCTGTGTGTACTTTAGGACATGAAATGAGGTTTAGTCACCGAATCACACAAATAAAAGAACAAATAACGGTACAATCGCATTCAGGGCGGAGCAAATCATTTATTTCTGAAATGTTTTTCAGAAGTGCATGAGCTTTTAATGATATTGCATCTTAATTAAAAAAAAAAAAAAATACATTTGCCAATCCGGTGTTATTCCAAAAGGCCATAAATAACTTTGGCAAGAACTCACGCTGGCCCAGAGCTACAGGCAAAGACCGCCTAGTACAGTGACAAGACATTGGTGAGTAGGTGTAGACAAGACATACTCCAGACTTCGTTGTTGTGAGGCTTATTAGTCCTAACCCAAATCTGCATAAATCTGGATAAAATAAGCTTTCAGCCATTCATACTTCAGCAGGTTTTAATATGACTGACCACGTGTTTAGTGACAAGTTGAATAATCAAAGGGCCTATCCTGTGGTCCAGCTGAACACTTAGGATCCCTCGGCACATCTCCCGCTGTGCACACTGACCTGCAGCCTGTCCACTTGTGAGAGGATGATGAGGTGCCACAGTGACGATTCACATAAACTTCTCGTCCTCAAATACTTTAAACTTTGCTCAGCTCAGTCTCTTGCCAGAAACGACGTCTGGAAACTCGTTTATTGCAAATGGCTAGCTTCAGGCAGTGACTTTTTCATCAGGGTCCGAGGTGGAATTAAAAGTGACTTGAATAACTCACTAGGAGTTATTCCCTTGATGACGGTGTTTCTTGTGATTCTCTCTTGGACTTTGGACTCTCTTGCATGTTCTCCTCGGACAGTTTCAGAGCTTGAACTATAACCTCTGTGTAGCTGCCTCCTGGATCTCTCTTGAGTCCCAAACTTCCTTTCAAGTTAAGCCATATATTTCCAGTGCCTAGTGCTTAACAGCATCTCTCTCTCTCTCTCTCTCTCTCTCTCTCTCTCTCTCTCTCTCTCTCTCTCTCTCTCTCTCTCTCCTGTAACACTGCCATCCACTTTTTAACAAGCTGAGGTCTCTTGTTGTTGTTTTTTAAATTCATCCTCAAGCCTATATCCCATTTCAGCCACTATCTCTCTCCTTCTTTGTCATCCAAAATGCTCAAAGGATTAGTCTTTATTGTCCAAATTTCCTCACTGGCTGTTTACTCTTGTGACCACTACAATTTGGCACCCACTTCTGTCAATGGTACCAAAACAGCTTTTGCTGTGGTTCCCAATGGCCTCCACGTTGCTACATCCAAACGACACGTCCCAGACCTCATTGTAATGATATCTCAGAGTCATCTGAGAGATTCTCAGTCAGCTCCCACCTTCCTCAAGCACTCTCTTCCTCTGACTTCTCTTTCTCCTCCTTCTCTGGTCATTCCTCCTCTTTCTGTAAGCTCTTATCTCACACCCATGTTCTCCCCACAATGTCACCAGCACACATGACATCAGTCGCCAGCCCCATACATGTGACTTACATTGTTAAATAGCAAACAGAGACCTTTCCTCTGAGCTCCAGACCTTTGTGACTCTTCATGAGGGCCCATAAGGAAACCTGATACTACTTTTTAGGTGGCAGTTGACAGACAAAACTACCTAATTTTTGCTGTAAAATATGGTTGCTTCACAAAGGTTCAAACATAATATAATCTTCAAAATAGAATACAAGTTTTATCAAGACTATACATGTTACATCTGTAGGAAAAAAGGGAAGCACGAGTCTCAGGGAGATTCAAACTGAAATAGTACTGCAACATGAACTACAAACTATAATAACCAACAAATATTTATAAGATTAGAAAGTACACATTTATTCCTGCTCCTGTAGAAACATAATCACAGCATAAACAATACTAACACAGCTGTATCTCTCTGTGTGTATAAATATCACCCTTTTCTCATGAGGATAGGCGAGCACCTGAACACAGTCAGGAATGGAAGATTACCTGCTGAATAAATGAGTGGATTAAAGCACCTGGACAAGAATTACTCTGTACATAATTATACAAATACTGCCTCTTTTTTTTTTTTAAATAACATACATCTTACAAAGACTATTCCTGAATCATCCAAAAATACTTGGAGAAGAAAATGTATTTGGTAGAAAAGTAAAAATCTTTTTCTTTCAGGGAAAATGTACTAAAATATAATAAAATCAGTTTTTATGGGATTACCGAAAGGAGTTTTAGGGGTAAAATAGACAGGTTTAGGGAGTTTTAGGAATTGGGGGGGCCCATAGGTGAGGAAGGCATAGTTGGTTGGCCAAAAGACATTCATTCTCAGAGAACAAAAGATGCCACAGGACAAGGGGAGAGGAAGACATCTATTCGCAGAAGATAGGGACAAGCCACAATGTATGGTGGGAAAGGGGAAACAAACTCTCACAGAGGACAGAGAAATTTTGACAAATGGGAGGAAGAGGAAAACAGATTTTCACAGGAGAAAGAGAATTCTACCACTGAAGGGGGAGCAACAGAGGGGGTACCACGTGGGTTTTACACTTTGAAGATGATATTCTACCAGTTGGAAGGCAGCCCTAAGAAACAAAGAACTGCAGCCTTTATAAACCCTAGAAAAAGGAGCTTAGGGGGCTACCCCGTTGGGACCCCCTCCCTCTGTGAGAGTCTGTACTTATTCCAATAAATTTCCACCTTTTCATATACCACCTTTGGTCCGTGGCTTCGTTCTTCCAATCCACCTGGACAAGAACCTGGGGAAGAAACCACCCTTGCATGCCACTCAGAACAAAACTACTTTTAGTTCAATGCCACACTCACTTTCACCATTATGAGCTTTGAAGTTAGGCAGAAAATTACGTGTTTCAAAAAGTTATGGTTTTTATTACAGACAAGATTTTTTAAATACCACCTATGTGAACATGAAAATAAATAGCCTTGTGACTCTATTAACTCCCTAAAAGAGAGATCCCCAGACATTCCTGGTGCACAGCACTCAGCCTCCAGGTAATGGTTTCGGTAGTCCTGGATCAAAAGAAATGCCCAACAAGTTTAGGCCTCTGTGGCTTAGTTGGTTCAGTGTCATCCTGCGCAGTAAGAGGTTGCCGGTTTGATTCCAGGTCAGGGCACAATGCCTCCACTACAGGCTCAATATTTCTCTCTCTCCCTCCCTTTTTCTCTCTCTAAAATCAATATGAACATTTATTTTAAAGAAATGACTAACATACTCACTTCGGCAGCACATACACTAAAATTGGAACGATACAAAGATTAGCATGGCCCCTGAGCAAGGAAGATATGCAAATTCGTGAAGTGTTCCCTATTTAAAACAAACCAAAAAAAGAAAGAAATGGCTAACAGTTCCATTTATTTGGTAGTTTAGTTCAACAATTTTATAAATATTTGTATCCTAAAAACTTAGTAGCCAATTTAAAAAAATACTACACATAAATTAAAATTTGAAAATACTTTCATGTCGTTTTTAACCATAATTACTTACTAATGGGATGTGTGCATCTGGTGGGCTCTGCACAACACCTCAAACATAGGCATCAAATTAGAAACCACCACCTGTTCCACATGGATTTTCACATGGAGTGACTTTTTACACAACTACCACCAAGAACCCAGCAAAAGGAATATCACCAGACTGCTTTCCATAGTGGTTGTATATCAACCTACACTCCCACCAGCAGTCAGTGAGGGTTCCCTTTTTCCTACAACCTCCTCAACCCTTGCTATTGAGCTGATGTTAAAAGGGCGTGACTTCAGCAGGTTGGGACTTGGAGGGAGGTCCTCCCAGGCAGAGAATACTTAGGAGCTGGGAAGAGCCAGGTGGCAGGCGTGTAGAGCAGGTGGCAGGCATGCAAAGCAATGGGAGCCATGAGTCTGGTACAGGCAGGGCAGCCTGTAGACCTCCAGATCCTGCCCCTCAAAGGGCGGTCCTCAGACAACCAGCATCAGTGTCCCTAGTAGCTGGTAAAGGATTACAGAACCTCAGGCCCCACGTGAGTCACATGCACACTGAAGTCTGTTTTCCATACTATACATTAAGGATATTGGTCTTTGTCTCTTAAGTCCCTAGACTGGGTTTTAAGCCAAAAGTGACATATCCAAGTGAGTATTTTGAAAAGAACACCTGGGATACAGCTAGAGATTGGAAAGGGGCACGTGAGAGTATGGGGAAACCAGAGAGGAGATTGCTGATGTACATAAAAAAGGTGGGGTCTCTAAAGGGATTGCCAGCCTTTCCACCAGCTTTACATTTTACTGTTTGCTTTGTACTGTTAACATAAAAACATTCAAACATGTAAAGAATTTTTGTAAGTTTATTTGAGCCAAACTGTAGACAAATGTCCGGACGCAGAACCTCAATGAATTGAGGTAACGCTCTGGAGAATGGCGGGTTACATCTATATTTGTACATTGCAATCAAAGGAGGGACATAGATGGATTACATGAAATCCATTGGTGATAGACTAGAAAGGCGGGAAAAAGCAAAGAGGGGAGGGGCAAGAGAGGGGACCCTGGGACTGGATAAAGAGTAAAATGATAGACACATACATAGGTGGGTGCAGGAACAATTAACATGACAATAATGAAGTAATTTGTGGTATCTGTTCTGTCCTGGTGCCCAGGCACAATAGGTTGTGCCCCAAGGACTCCAGAAAAAGGGAAGTTACAAGTTACTCAGACATTTCAAGGGTACCGTATTTTCCGGCGTATAAGATGACCCCCTAATTTTACAGTTAAAACATAGGTTTAGGCCTATATCGCTGTATAAGACTATCCCCCACTTCCGAGGCAACACCAGTTCTTTTTTTAATAGACTGCCTCTCTGACTCTGGCCAATGTGAGCAGGCTTTTTACTAGAACACAGTGTAGCTTTGAGTACAGAGAACATGTATAATTTACATGCATAAAAAGCCTGCTTGGATTGGCTGAGTTAGAGAAGTGTTCTATTTAAAAAAAGAACTGGTGTTGCCTCAGAAGTGGGGGGTAGTCTTATACAGCGAATATAGGCCTAAACCTATGTTTTAACTGTAAAATTAGGGGGTCGTCTTACACGCCGGAAAATACGGTATGTTATCTTAAATGGAAAAAGACAGAGAGGCTCAGTTAAGGTAAAAAAGGTTGACCTTGTCAGTGAAGATCCCTGTCTAGGATGTAACTACCCACCATACTGCCTTTAGTTACAGTTTAATTTCAGACCATCCTTTGTGTTTACTTTAGGTTTCTGAGTTTGCAAGACCACTATGTAGGCCTCCCCTTGAGAAAGAAAACTCCTATTTTGTAAAAAACTGCTGTTTGAAATTTTTTGCTGTTTTTTTAGATGGCCTCTTATTCTAAAATGTTTGCTTTCTAGTCTGCTTTAGCCTGTTTGAATAATGATGAAGATAAACTTAGCTGTATGACCTTGCAGGCCAGAGACTAGATATGCCCATAATCTCAATGCCATCCATGCCAGGTGCATTTTTTAATTGGATAGGACTGTATTGTTTTCAAGGCCAGCATCGAGATAACCACTAAGTGCACTTAGGGCTGGCTCTTTAATAAAAAGGGAAGTTCTGCTTGTAGCCTTGCTTAGAATTTGAATTCATTTTCTCTGAGCCCATCTCGCGATGAATAAAGTGATTCTGTCCAAACTCTCCTCCTGCATTGTTTGATTATTCGGGAACTCTGTAACACCCTTAGCTTGTCAGGTGAGCATGTGGCCCCTTTCGTCCACACTATTAATCCCTGTTTGAAAACATTTTGGCTATCACACTGTACTTAGTAATTTATAATTGAAAATTGCTAAGTTGTAATTTACCAAGTTGTAAATTTTTTCCTCTGAATTTATGCTGGTTGAAGACACAAAGGCACTGAACTTCTCATTAGCTGGAGATAGTCGAGTCTGGCCACACTGAGTTGCTGTTAATTCTGATAAAAAGTAAACAAACCTGAGTTACATTACTTGTCACGAAAAGCCAACAGTATTGTGTTTAAAGAAAACTTTCAATGTTTTTTCCTCCCTTCCATCAAAAGTGAACATATCCCAGAGTCAGACTAAATCAGGAGGTTAGAGAATTCTAGGAGAGATATTGATAAAGAACAAATAGAAAGGCTAATATTAAAAAAAAAAAGTAAATATATCAAAACTCCCGAATTTCTCTTATGAAATTTTGCTGGCCTTTAATAGTGAGTCATTCATTAATTTACTTAAAATATATATATATATATATTTACTTAAATATATATATATTTACTTAAAAAAAAAATATAGCCGAAACCGGTTTGGCTCAGCGGTAGAGCATTGGTCTGTGGACTGAAAGGTCCCGGGTTCGATTCCAGTCAAGGGGTCAAGGGCATGTACATTGGTTTCGGGCACATCCCCGGTGGGGGGTGTGCAAGAGGAAGCTGGTCGATGTTTCTCTCTCATCGACGTTTCTAGCTCTCTATCTCTCTCCCTTCCTCTCTGTAAAAAATCAATAAAATATTTTTTTAAAAAATAAATATATATATATATATATATATATTTTTTTTTTTTTTTTTTTTTTTTTCCTGATCCTACTCTATACAAGGCACTGGTTAGTTGCCTAAGGAATAAAAATAATGTTCTGAGCATATGATATAACTTTGATTCATTGAATTAAAATGGATTTTTATTTTTTATTTTTTTACCTCTTGAGATTACAGTTCAGTAATTTTAGTATGTACAAGCATCACCATGATCCAAAGTAGAACATTATAAAAGCCATAGTTCAGTTAAAATTGCTTCACCTGCAAGTGATAGAATATATGGATATCAACAGTGATTTAATGAGAAATAATTTATTCCTTTCTCATGTAAGTGGTCAGAAAAGAACTTGTATGCATATATGCATAACCCATGGATACAGACAGTAGAGTGGTGGAGGCCTGAGGTTGGGGGCAGGGCAGGCTATAAGGGGTAAATGGGAAGAAGAAGGGGGCATATGTGATACTTCCAACAATTAAGATTTTTGAAAAAATTTCCCTGACAGCCTAGCTGTGGTGGCTCAGTAGTTGAGCATTGACCTATGAACTAGGACGTCACGGTTCAATTCCTGGTCAGGGCACATACTGGAGGCAGCCAATCAATGATCCTCTCTCATCATTGATGTTTCTCTCTCTCCTTCTCCCTTCTTCTCTGAATTCAATATATATATATATATATATATATATATATATATATATATATATATATATGTATATATATAAAATGTAAAATCCATTTCTCAATATAAGTGCTTTTTTGAGGGCAAGAAATAGACTTTTTCCAGAGTCTTCATGCTTCTGCAACTCTTCTCAAGTCAGACATGGCAGAATAGAAGATTACCACCTCACTACAGTTGAACAATTTTAGAAATGGCCCATCTGTGCTGGTATTCTTTCAATTACTTTGTAGAGCTTACATTTCAAAATTATATGTTAAAAACCTTAATCTGCAGACACTAAGACTACACTCTCTAAGAAATATTTACCTCAAAACATTGTCTTACCCAAGCACCAATCCAAAATGAAATCTGAATTGTTTTGCCCACTGAGCAAAAATGAGCCAATTGTTACCTTCTTACATAAGAAGGAAATCTTCTAGTACTAGGTATTTTTCTCTCTGTGCTCAATAAACTGTGAGAGTGCTTTACATGAAGTAAAGGTAGATTAACTGAATAAAAGACCAGTGATTTAGACACTTCTCAAATCAGGTATCTATCAATACTCCACAATTCTCCCTCTCTCCCAATTAGCAAAATGCCTCCAAACTCATCTGTGAGTGAACTCTTCCAAACCCAAATGTCTTTTGTTGTGCTGCTTGTTTTTGATGTCCCAAGAGGCATGAAGAACAAGCATCTGGTTTCCAGTAAGTCTTTTCATCCACTTTCTGGCATTTAATTGAAGCATACCAAGTTCAAATAACTCTCTCAAAATGAAATTACCCAATTCACACCAGAACGCATGGTTCCACAAGCCAACCCTGCCCACATTCTCCTCTGAAAATCAACATAACAACAACACCAGATAGTTGTCCCCTGAGTTTCACAGCCACATACCCCAGAATGGGTGTTCAACATGGAGACTAAATACCGACAAAATACTTTCCCTTTGAGGAGACGAGATAATGATAATCCAATACTCAGGATTACTTCAGCCTTTCTGATTTGAGGGTAGCATTGTTTAGCTCAAGTCTGAAATATGAGAGAAGAGATTGGAATGTTTCAGAGGCAGCCTGAACAATGTCATCTCCACCACTGAAATCTAGGAGACCTTATAAAGTCACCGCCCTGTCCTAACCATATTTCCATATCTGCACATAGGGATAGAAAATA